GCTGTTCTTGTAAATCGGAACAGTACTAGGGCTGAGGTTGATGAGGAGAACGCACAGGTACACACATTGAGAAACAGTCAGTTTCCCTGTTTTCAGGTTTAGACACTTAGAGATTTTGGTAAACCTGCTTCGTGAAACAACCCCTGAAGCAATGGAAAACCTAACCTAAAGAGAAAGAGTAGCTATACTTAAAAGTAGACAGAGGAATAAATATTACAAAAATGTTTTAGAAAATAGATAACAAGGAAGAGCAAAACTAAGAATATAAAAGTGATTTTAATCTAGACAATACAGAACAAAACAAAGAAACCTTGAGAACCCAAAAAATCCCCAAAAACTTAAACAGAAACAAAAGGTCCAAAATGTAAGATCATGAGAGAAAGTAGTCAAAGAAACAGAGGTGTTCTTGTGTTTATTCTTCCCTGATAATGCCAAGTTGAATTATTCATTTATTTCTCAGTAACTTTTTTTTTTTCCTCTGTTGTACATTACATGCAGGAGGACAGACTGAATGATGCCGGAGACAATGAGATTTTGACAGGGTGCAACAGTAGCTACTGTGAAAGCTTGCGCTCTTTACACTACATTCGGTTATTCACCCATTCCTAAACGCACAGTGATCCGTGGCAAGCTACACTGTAGACTCAACTGCCCTGGGGATCACTTACAGAAGCGAGGCTGTAGTACACTAGCGCCACCAGGTTCTCTGACCAGCATCATTAGGCAATGCGGGTGAAGTGTTTTACCCAAGATAACAATGACATTATAAGCCGGAGCCAGGGCTTGAACCAACAACTGTCCGGTTGCACAGCAAACCCCTGTGCCATGGTGACAGTGGACTCTAGAGGAGGAAAATGTGGTGCAACCTGTTGACACTTTTTCAGTACCTTTTGCCAGAGATACATTTTTAAATTACTGTTGGTACAAAATCTAATGTAGTGCACTATAATGCACTTTTACTATTGGTGCTGAACTCAATGTTCTTCTGCATTTTGTACCATATTTATTTATTTTATTTATCAAAGCCTTTTGCACTACGACTTTTAAACTGGTTTCCTTTTCTCCACACTGTTTACATTCTTGATAACTGCTGCTTTTTATACACGGTAATGTTAATTTCACTGTTCTAAGCATTATGCATCGAAATGTCGTTTTGTATACACAGTGCATACAAAACCACAATAAAGTTTTCTAAGTCTAAAATGTGTTTTTTTTTTTTAATAGAGATATACATAATCTTTACACCACTGCCCAAAATGTAACTGGCTCTTTCTGATCTCTCCCAGAATTTGTTTTGAGCATCTTTCTGTAAGTTAATTGACTGGAAGTTACTTGATCTTACATATCTGTGTATATTTCTGTAAAGAATGTTTAAAATCTGTTTCAGAGGGGTGTAAATGTCTGCATTTTTGAAAAGCAGGCTGCATAAAGTGCCGCAGTACCACTGTCCCTAAACTTAATTAACAGCTTGGATGTAATTATGTAAATGTTACTTAATATCTTCACAACTGTTATGTTCTTTAGACCAGTGGTCCCCAACCACCGCGTCGCGGACCAGTATCGGTCCGTCAGTCATTTGGTACCGGGCCGCACAGAAAAAAGTATATATATATATATGTATGTAATTTATCGACGATCAGAGTCTGAGTGATGTTTTATTTTGAAAAATATTTTTAAAAAATTGCGGTATTCTCTCCCAATTACATCAGTCGTTGTATCTGTGCCTCTTGACACAGGTTAATTCAGTTCAAGACTCATCCTATCTATAACATCCTATCTTTGTGAAGCGGGATTTTCTGCGGTTACAGCGACCAAAACAAAGCTACAGAGCAGACTGGACATCAGGAGCACTCTTCGTGTGTCATTGTCTCCGATTACGCTTTGATGGGACCGGCTTGTCCTCAGGGCTCCCACTAATTCAACATAATGGTGAGTTTTATTTTTATGCTGTTTGATTTGTACCCGGAGAGAACCCACACATGCTCAGGGAGAACATGCAAACTCCATGCAGAAAGACCCCGGGCCAGGAACTGAACCAAGAACCTTCTTGCTGCAAGGCAGCAGTGCTACCCACTGCGCCTTCTTGGTCAATCATTTTTTTAAATAGAAAATGCAGGAAAAATATCACATTTAAGATGAAGTAATCAGTTACCTTTAACTAAGTGGTTATCAATAACATAACCAGTTCAACCTACTCTCATTGAATAAAATAAAATCATCTTTGTCCCTCTCTTTCCTTGTTCTCTGCTTATTTTCTAGCCCATAACCTGATCACTTCTTGCATTTGATTACTGCAACTCTCTTCTCTGGTTTTCTGTAGAAATTCCTCCTTCATCACATCATCCCACTCACAGGAGCTTCAATGGCTCCATGTCAACTTCAGAATTAAATTCAAAACCCTCCTGTTCATAGATCATCCATAACCTTCCTCCCCCGTATTTCTCAGAGTTCATTTAGATTGCTGTCCCCTCCAGAATCCTTATTGAGTCTTTGCCCACAACATCATCATCATCATAGAGAGTAGAGCAGGAGAAAGTGCTGCTCCCAAACCCTGGAACCTATTCCCTCCTTATTCTTGTTTGTAATTTTAACTCTGTTTAAATCAAAGCTAAAAATGCATCCGTTCAAGACCCCATACCTCCAGGGATTGCCCTGTCCTGTTTTTAATATTGTGTAATCTTGACTATGTTTTTTGTACAGTAAGTTTTGCGTTTTTCAAATGCGCTTTCAATAAATGTATTATTATTAGTAGTAGTAGTAGTATCTCAGAGAGTGTATAAGTGGGCTGTGTTATTCTGCAAGGCAGTTCCTTGGTTCACCGTTTGTGCCATCTTGTTAATGATCTATCTATAGTGCTGAAATAAGCTAAATGAATTTGTCTAACAAATCAACACTCAAGCTGTGTTCAATCTCAGAGGGAGAAATTGTAAAAAAATGGACTTTGTGCAAATATTATTAAATATTTTTTGGCTTAAATATTGCACTTTAAAGTAATCTACATTTCAATCTGTTGTAATAGAACAAGTAACAGATGCGTGATTCTACTGGAAGAATTTTGAAAACTAAAAACGTAGATCATTATTTATTCAATTTAGAAAAGAAAAAAAGAATGATACGGTTAAACTATCAGGCTTTCTTCTTCAAAACAGTTTTTAATTCCAAATGCACATACAAGTTTTCTTAAAAAGACCGTTATTATGGTTCTGTATTCTATATATACTTTTTATCTGTTATATGTTTTTTTCGGTAACAACCCCAGAAAGACTAGCTGGGTTTAAAGCTTGGCTAACCAGGATTTTAACTAAACTAACTAACTTTTTTGGGTGTTTAAACCTCTAGGAAGACCAAAAACTTCAACATATACTGTATTTTTTTTCTCTCCATTGTCGTAATACTCAATGCAATTTGATTCAATCAACTGAAAAAAAAGAGAAAGACAATTTTTTTTATCAAATGTTTAGATGATCTTTTCTTATTTTTATTTTCATGTACATTTTATTTGCCATACATATATATCAACTTAGCTAATACACAATATGTTTGTATGAGTAAAAATGTGTTAAGACATATATTAGCATAGCTGGTATAGCGAAGCCTGAAATCTGCATATATGTGTAAAATATGTATTTTTTTAACTACCAAGAACTTAAAACCAAAGTTTCTAATGATTACACTGGTTACATACATTTATCATTAACTCTCACATTAAAAAGCTGCTTTCAGCTACATTGCATTTAAATATTTCCATAAACATTTAGGTCTGCCGTGTTCATGTATTCATCATTGTCATCAAAGTCCTGTGAAGTATAAAGGTAACTAGCATCAATTCTACTTAAAAGGGTTGAATGAATTTGACTTCATGGATGAATAAACTGGAAAATGATACATACCTTTTTGTGATTGCTGGATTTTGGCTGGCTTTATAGTCCCACCACAGCAGAGAAAATAGCAATTAGAAAATATTTATTTAACAGTTTCCTATAAACATTTTTTAGTTTAAAGTAAGTACCTCTTTGGAGATGGGAAGCGAGGCTTGCTAACTTTCTCTCCACCACTGTGCGCATTATTAGGACTGGTGATTTAAATCAAAGTTTCTATCATTAGATAAATAAAAACACCATGAACCATTTAAAGCTTCTCGAGTGTGAAATATTCACCTCTGATCACAGCCACTTCTTGGAGGTCTCCTGTTAAAGAAAAACGGACCAATACTTGTGTTAATAGTGTAACAGACTAAAGTTTGCCTGAGGAAAAAACAATACAATCAATCCACAGATGAAACATGTTTTTTCAGTTTAAAAATAAGCTTATCATAAAGCCAAAAAAAGTTCTTTACCTGGAAAATCTGCTCCAAATAGACCTTCTAGGGGAAAAAAAGAAGAACAGAAACTATGTAAATGGTGTAGCAGATATTTTATCTAAAGTCAAAAATGAAAAAAAGCTTTTTTTTAAAATAAATAATGAAATCTCTTACCTTTGTTCAGAGCGAGTTGGTCCTGAGGCACCAGAACGGAGCCTGAAAATGTCACATATAGAATTGTAATTAATTTTAATGTTGCGATTTTGTCTAGCGCTAAAAAGAAAATAGATCACAAAGCCACTCTCCTTTACCTGCGAGACAGTCTAGACATCCTGTTCCACATGCTAAAAGTAAAAGAAGAGTTATGAAGAGATTGCAACTTATTATTTCTGTAAATGTAAACAAACTATATTTTTTCTACCTGCCATCCTGACTTTGAAGCTCTTGAATGCGTTTCCTTTGAAAGACCAAAAAAATGTTAAAACATCAGCAATGTGTAGGAGTATACTGTACAGTGGCTTTACTATTTATTTTGTCAACAGAAAATAGTTGGGACCTGTGATACTCACTTGTACTTTTTCGTCATAAAAAGACACAGGAGTCCAAACATCACAGCGGTGGTAGCTGCAGTAACAGTGGGAATGATGATGTGGTTGTAGTTTTCGGTCCCTGCAAAACAGATGTATACTATTTGTCTTTTCTTGCAAAAAAAACAATACACAGCATTATGAATTATAATCTAAATAAAATCTTTTAAATGAACGATCCGTCCATCTTTGACCACACTCTAATGGTGCATTCACACCAGTTTGGTGTGATCTTTCTCGCCTGAAATCTTGCCAGAAATTCAACTGACCAGCAAAAATAATTAACACGGCAGACCAAAGGATCCACTACATCATTGAGATTGCTTGTTTTGGGTTTCACCTTAACATGGCACACAACATAGCTATTTATGGTACTGTATTTACTTTGGAAAGCCAAATGAAGCCTACATAAATGCTTTGAGTTAGGGGAGTCCTCGAATAGCTCGTTCACGGCTGCTTGCCGTGATTTTCAGCTCCTTCCAATTTTGCTGTGTGTACTTTACAGGTGCAGCAGCTTTCTTGCTTCTCTGAATTCACCAAAAATGTGAATGTGCCTAAACCTGTTGTCTCGCTAGATTCGTGACGTTTGCCTCACTTTGCCTCGCAACATTCATAAGCCGCTCTCTATAATAGGGATGTGAAAGCCTGTGGAATTAATGTTTGGTGTGAACGCACCTTAGTTAATTCAAAATACATCGTTTGGAGCGAAGAGGCAAATAAAGCAAAGGACATTTTTTTATCAGCTCTTATCTGTTTTAATTTTACCTTTTTAGTAATTATAGATCTGTTTTTACAAATTTAAAGGGCTTTATAAATAAATTACATTATAATTATTACATTTGAGGGGTCTGAGGCTGACAGTAGAAAAAAAACATCCATCGAGGGAGGATGGATGGATGGATGGATGGATGGATGGATGGATGGATGGATGGATGGATGGATGGATGGATGGATGGATTGTAATAAAATAAAATAAAATAAAAACACACTCACGTTTTACATTCAGTCTGAAATCTGTGTTGGATCTTATATTTCCATTAAAGGTTGCTGTGCAGGTGAGCAGGGAGTCGTCATCCTTTTCTTCAGGAATGAAAGACAGAACGGACTCTGTTTGCCAAACCCCTGAATAAACATCTTCATGAGACTCAATGATATCATCCACAGTTCCATGAGTCCATGTAAGTTTAGGTGGATGAGAAGGGCAAGTATGCCGGATGGAACAAGTGATTGTGTAGGGTTTGCCTTGAATGGCTGTCTTTAGTGGACCCAGTTTGGGCTTAGGTGGGTCATCTATCAACAAAATGGCATGTAATAGTTAATAAGGAGCATAGTTAAACATCCAAATAATAATTCACATATAACTGAATGAATAACTTACGGAGCATTTTGATTTCAGCGCATTCCTCAACAAATGAGAACTTTTCACTAGTGGGTTGGTTGTTGTCTTTTCTCACTAATTCAACACGGAAACAAAAAGGACCATTGTCATGATCTTTAACTTCAATTATTTCTAAAGTGCAGTTGCTTTCACCCAGTCTTCCCATCAACTTTGTTCGGCCCTTAAAACTGTCTAAGATCTTTGTGTTGTCCTCATGGTAGAAGAACTCTTCCCATTTGTCTTTACGATGCCAGATGCCCCTAAGTCTGGAGTTAGACAGTCCCCCCCCTGGATGAGTGAATGTACAGGGCAGCACAACACAGGACCCGACTAAGGCGTCAATGTTTTTTGTAACAGAGGCCCTCCATGATTCTCCAAACACTGGGCTGCAAACTGCTGAAAATGGAAGTGGAAGTACAGCGAAAGGTTATTATTAAGTAATGGGGTTTGGAAAAACATATATCAAATAAATGATCAACCCTTTTACCTGTCAAAACCAAACACATTATGATCTCTCTCTGGTGGACCATTTTTCTTAAGATGGTGCTAATGCAAATGACTGAGGGTTTGGTTATTGAAATCTGAAGAATTCTATAAAGAAAAAAAATCACATAAACACAAGATTTTCAAAGTTAAGCAACATGCTTTTGATCTTTTATACAGTTAAATAGAACTAAGAAGCCAAACTTAAACTACAGTCACACTTGCCCTTAAGCAAATCCAAAGAAAAAAACATAAAAGCAGACATATTAAGAATCAAATATATCCTTTTAACCGTTGATTTCAATGTTTGAATGCTAAAGTGTTTTACAGGATTCTATAACTGCAAAGACACAACAGCAAATTTGTGCAAAATTACAAGACACCCACACAGTCTGCTCACAACAATGTTTGGCACCACCCTGTGCAGCAGATATGAGGAAAATGTTTAGAGCTTCAGAATGGTGTTACTTTCTCAGGCTTAGCATTCTTCAAAGATCTCCCTTGTCCTAAACTTCCTCTATTTTCAGTTATTATTTTGCACCCCAGCCCCCACTAAATCTAATCTCATTTCCATATAAGGTTCACTGCAATAATATTTCAAATCTGTTATTTTTATTCTGTCATCACAGCTAATATGCATTTTTATCACCAAACCCACACTTTATCAAAATGTTTTTTTGTAATTGGCATTAGAATTTTCAGAATTGTACCTAATGGTGTCTGTTTTAACTTAGCTCTGTTTTCCGAAAACACTTCTTTCAGGACACTTCCTTAGGTTTTACTGTTGACACAGATAATTTCATCTTATGTGGAAAAGAGATTTTCTTCTTACCCACATATTTCCACACTTTGAAAATCTAGCTATACTCTCAAAGATGATATTAATGTTTAAATTACAAATCTAAATCTCAGCTTAGATTTGTATTTGTATTAATACTATTTTACAATACATTATTTTTTACTATGAAAACTGTTATGTGCCAAGCAGTTCTAAAATATAGTAACTTCATTCACCAAATATTTTGAAAGGTTTTCATTTTTATGATTGTTTTATTAGAAATAGGTTTCAATAAGAAACAATGCCATATTGTCTAAATATGCACAGAATGATAGGTTCAAATAATAAATCTGTCACCTGGACAAGTTCTTGTGTCATTATGTTGATTTCTGAACATCTTTGTTGGTTAAAAAATATATTCCATAATTTTTCATCTGGCAAGGAAAACATTGTAGACAGATATACATAGTACAAACAGATGCATTTATTAAAATAAACCATTTGAAAAAGAAACTGTTTTCTCCAGGTACATCTTTGAAGTAACAGACAAAGGCTCAAAGTGGTAAGCAACTATGGCAAATATTGCAGCTGCAGAGCTTTTTAACAGGGTTTATGCAGTCAACCATGCACAGATCAACTGTGCATGGCATTTTTAGTAATTTCTCTATTTTTTCTATTTTCCTTCATGTTATAATCATTTAGGATTTTCAGGCGATACATTTTTAAATGCTACTAACTGCCACAAATTCAATAAAATTATCTTGTTAAGGTCCAACCCATCAAACCAAGAATTTTTAAAATCTATTCATAATTTCATTCTGTTAATCGCTGCTTATATGTATTTTTGACACCAATCCCATATTATGTTAGAAAACCCCCCATGCAAGTTGGATGTAATTAAATTAGAATTTTTAGGATCTTACCCAATGGTGTTTCTGTCTTGACTGAGCTGTGTTTTCTGAAATCACTTCCTTTAAGAGGATTTTTTTAAGTTTGACTGCTGACACAGATAATTTACCTTATGTGGAAATTGAAGAGGATGTGTAGATGCCATAAAGGCAGACTTAATGATGCAAATAAAAGGGAGGGGTCTCTGCTGAAGAGCTCATCCACCTCTATATGCAAATTTTTTATATATTTCGAAACCTGCAGTCTGTGAAATCACAAAACGGTTAAAAATATCACTTCTTCTTTTAGGGTTTTTCTCTGTTCCATGCTTACTTACTTTAAAGCACCCCCCACCCCTCCATACCCACCCACCCCATCACCCACCCACAAAAATAAAATTATTAATTGATAACTAAAAATCCTAACCTTTAGAAAAAGACCTCTGAAGCTTGCTCCACTAATTTATCACAGTTATTTATATAAAGAAATTGAAGTTTCATATCTGAACAGATGACGGGGTAGATGTGATGTACCTCTAGGGACCCCTGCTGCTTTAATAGTGACATGCTTTTAAAAGATATGATTTTAATGGAGGACATCGTATTTTGACTGTGAGACAGGACAGGTTTACACAATGGAAATGGACCAAATGTGCTTTGCATCAATTTTAATTTAGTTATGGCTTTGGCCAGCTCTTGTTGCTAAACTTTTTCTTTTCACCTGGTACATCAAAGTTTAGTAGAAGCAAGGCAGGATTTGTATTTTTTTTCGGATTGCCAAGTTCTTGCTGAAGATTTTTTATACCTTCAATTTAAAGAAAAAATGAAAATCTCATACTTTTTATCTGTGTGATTCTGCTTTTTAAATTGATATATTTGAGCCATTAACACACTTAGAAAGCCCTATAATTGCTATGGGATTTTTTTTTTATAGAAATTAGGTACTATCACATAAATTAAGGCTGATTTATGCTTAGAAACCAGGTCGTCTGGTTCTGTGTCGCAGTGAACGCAAATGTACCCCCACCCCTTCCGCAGACACTCTGGTGCCCTGCTTTGAAATTGGTGACCGAAGACAGTGCCGCTGACAGGAGGCCTCTGATTGGTCCAATCTATCGCTGCTCTACACTGTGAGTATTTCCAGTTTGATACCTTACATGCTGGTTTTGTTTGTATGACTGCCATTGTGGAAAACGACTTGTGAAAATGGACCAGCTAGAAGAGTGAGGTTCGCGAGAATGCCGGGACCCATTTTCCACCTGGATCCCCGCTCTTTTTCACCCTCATGTCCCTTCGTTGTCACACAAACTTGCCCCCATTTCCTCACCACCTCGGCCATATCTAGACCCATAGCTAGTCTGTGATTGTACCTGTTGCGTTGTGGCGTGAATTAACATAGCACAGACCATGCTTCAATATTGGGCATAAATCAAATATATCTGCAATAAGCTTACTGTGACACACTGCTGTGGAAGTATAACCAGCCTTTTAGTCTACAACTGCTTTTGTTATATGACCTGTGAAAGGATCAAAGACTAGTGGATGGAACTAAAATAAGAAAAATACAAAAAACATTCCCAATGGAAACATCTTACCTACCACTAACTCTCAGCTTAAATTTAAAAAATAAACTTAAACTAATCATACTTCTGAGTAGAGATGTGTGGGTGGCAAATTAAAAGAGTGACAGCAAGGGATAAAATCTTCAGTAACCATTTTCTCCTATTTTTCTGAGGTACAAACAGATTTTCCAAGTACTCCAGACTTGATTTAGGAGTCTTGCGCAGTTAGTCAGCAGTTTTCTATACCTAGTTTTTTACTCAATGACTATACTGGTTATTACTTAAAAGCAATTGTCAATTTTGCTAGGCTACATCATTGTATACCATGAAATTATAAATTACCATATTTTCTGGACTACAAGGTGCACCTGAATATTACACGCACAAGCCAAAATTGGGGGAAAATCATGTTTTCTTCACTCATTAGCCACACCTGACTAAAAGCCATAGGTGTTTTAATGTTTAATTACCATATGTAAGAGAATATGCACAAAGGTGATGGTCAGGAAAAAGATGGCTATTTGGAAACTCCCCCCCAACAGTACGGCGAGCGTTACGGGACAAAAT